CTTCACACATTATTGATGGCAGATTTCCAACCCCAAACTGCAAATCAATCTAATCTGTAAACAAGCAGCCCACTAAATTCTGGACTTGCGTTGAAAAAAATAGGGTTTTTCACATCATAATACTTTATTAACGAATTAACAAAACTATAATAATTAATTTAATTTTCTGTCTCAATGAATTCCTACAAGTTTAATAAAAAGAATATCTTATATCGGATAAATTTTTTTAATTAAAATAATCAAAGTAAAATAATATCTCCTTGTCATTTTTTATGCATTTCAAAAATCATTATACATCTTAAAAATAAATAAATATACTCCGCGGAATTTAATTTTAACATTTGGGTCCTGGCAGTTGAAGTTATAAGATGGGAGGTGACAAAATTCAACTGGCCTAATTACAGTGTTCTGAAATTCTACTTTTCAAGTTAAAAAAAGACTGAAGCAACTTACGAGGTGGGCTTTCCAACCTTCTTTCTGAAATTATGAATAAAAAGCATTAAGTATGTTTTAGTTAAGATTCTGTATTATGTGTTATTGTTAAAAATATACAAGCGTTGTGTAAACGATGAAATTTATTATTTTTTATAGCCAGCGGAATCTATTTATTCACACTAAGAAGATATCTTCTCTTCTATAATATATATATATATATATATATACATGTATATATATAGAGAGAGAGAGCCAGTTTAAATTTTAAAGTTGAAAATACTGAGAGTGTATTGTTTATCTGATGCTTTAAACTTAAATGAGATACGCATCGCAGCCCCATATCCTGAGATATGCATTTCTGTCAAAAGCCAGACTGGCTACGGTGAGAGAGTATCAACTTTGCATTGGATTTCGGTCAATAAATAATTCAACGACCAACTCAACACAAACTGAGAGTCAAACAAAAATATAGCATTTGGTCACTCCCCTTGTATTAATTATTTGGATATGTAATATTCTCTACTCTTTTATATGCATATATATATATATATATATATAGAAAATACATATATGCTATTCTAAGTTTATGTAGTCTTGATTGGTTGATTATATTTGTTTTTCATTCTCAGTAGTTGAGGAACTTTATGTTACTACAACTAATACGAATTCTACAAGTAGGAAAACCAAATGACCGAATCCCAAATCTGACAATAATTCACTTCTTAATTCCTTTGATTATGTGTTATGGATTAGCTAATCATATTTTAAGTAAACTTTAGTTGATTATTTGATAAGATGCTAATGGAGTTGTATGTGGACCGTTAAGTACAAGTTGTCTCTTTTGTTTAAGAATTAACAATGTTATTTAGACTTATTTTATACTTTCATGGTATTTTATTGATTATATGTTTGTTATGAACTAATTAAATTGTTTCTTCTTTCTTTATTCATTGCTTTTGAATTTAATATCGATTGAATAAATACTAAAGAATAATTCACTTTATGCTCAGTGCTGTTTCTGATTTAATACTCAATTTTGAAATGAGTTTCGCTATAACTACTGCCTCTCTTTTCTTATATCAATCAATCTAACACTTTCTTATTAAAAAAAAAATAATCTTATCATGATTTTGTAATTCAAGAGCATAACCTCATCAACTCTCGCATGGTTAGTAGATAATGATTGATTGCAATTTCCATTATTATAGCAGCTGATTCTACATACTTTGATTATATCATCTAGTTAAGAAAATCAACAAGTTGTTCTTTGAGTGAATCAAGCTGGACACTTCACAACTTTTGTTTTTGATATATATTCTGATAACAAGGAGTTACAAATTTATAGAGCATGGGCTGCTCTTTGCAAAAGGAGTCGATCAGCACAAGAAAGGAAACAAACAAGAAAACATCCTTGCAGAGGATCAAAATAAAAAATACAGAAAATAAAAAAGACATTAGAGAGGCATGCATGAAGGGACAATCACGGTTCTTCTTTTTCCAGTTATCAGCCATGCATTCTTTATCATGAAGGTTAGTGCTGAGTTGGATGGCTGAATAGGATTGTTTGCCGATTTGGACAAATTTGCACACTTGGTTGCTTTGGATTGCTGATGGTGGCAATCACAGAACATAACAACATTCTTCGTATTCCTCCTCAAACTTGTCAAGGGAAGCAGTCGCCGAGTGAGACCAAGTTTACCTCTGAAATACTTGATTTATGATTGTGATAGTGTTTTGGCGAAGCAGTCTGTAATCCGATCACAAGAAGACACATAAATAATGTCAAGAACTCCTCTTAACACTTTGTCACGAAGGATGTGGACATCTACTTCAATATGTTTAGTTCGTGAATGAAAAACTGAATTGCTTACAAGAGTTGTGGCACTCATGTTGTCACACCAAGCGATGGAGGTTTATGGAATGACAAAGTTTATTTCTTTGAGCAAGGACAGAACCAAGCAATTTCACAAAATAAGTGAGCTAGAGCCCTGTATTCAGATTCTGCACTTGATCTTGAGACAACATTCTACTTCTTTGAGCTACAAGATACTATATTGTCTCCAAAATAGACATAATAACTAGAGGTTGAACGTCGATCATATTTTGAGCAAGCCCAGTTGACATCAGAGTATCCAACAATGCTTAATCTATCACTGGGTTTGATGTGAAGTCCGATTTCAGTCGTTCCTTTCAAGTATCTAAGATCTCTCTTCAGTGTAGTTATTTGAAGATTGGTCGGGTTTTCCATAAATTAAATGAGTTTGTTAACGATAAAGGAGATATCCAATCTTGTATGAGTCAAGAATTAAAGTGAACCGACTATTTTCCTGTAAGGAGTAGGATCAGATAACTCTTGTCCTTCCTCTGCAGATAGATTACTTTCAACGACTGTCGAGGTCGAACATGGTTTAAAAGAATGCATATTGTTTCATTTGAGGAGTTCTTCAGTGTATTTTGTTTAAGTGAGGAAAAGTTCAGTTTCATCACGCGTTGCTTTAATTATGAGGAAGAGATGAAGCTCACCTAAGTCCTTTAGTGCAAATAAGGTATGGAGTTGACTAATACATCTCTGTATTCTTTTGGGCTCTTTTCCTGTCACAATTATACGGTCAATGTAAATTAATATGAAGATTTTAGTGACTGCAGTAACAAGGAAGAAGAGTGAGTTCTCTGCTTGAGAATTTTTGAAGCCTCATTTGAGTAAAGTGGATTTGAGCTTATCAAACTAAGCTCTTGGCGCTTGCTTGAGTCCATAGAGTGATTTGTTGAGTTGACAGATATGATTAGGATGTACAGAGTCTTAAAATCCTTTAGGTTGCTTCATAAACAATGTTTCTTTCAATTCCCCATTTAGGAAGGCGTTATTCACATCTAATTGTTTGATGCGCCATCCATTTGAGACTGTCAAGCTCAGTATAACTCTGAGACTTGACGCCTTAATCACTGGGTTGAAGGTTTGATGAAAATCAATTCTGGGTGTTTGATGAAATCTTTTAACAACTAACCTGGCTTTACACCATTGAAAGCTACCATCTGCATTTATTTCGATCTTGTAGACCCGTTCTTTTTCGACAAGATTCATTTCAAGATGATAGGGTACCAATTTCCAAGTTTGGTTGTTGTTGAGAGCGGTCATTTCTTCTTCTATTGCTGATTTTCATAAGAGATTGTTGATTGTTTTTGCGACTAAAGTGGGTATGCTGAGATTATCTTTTTTTGTTGCACTGAACAATTGGAAGTCCTGTGATAAGTTTCTCAGTCTAAATATTTTGACTTGAGCTCTTATCATCATCTGGTGCCTAGGAGGTTTAGTTAAAGTTTCATCTGTTTACAGTTCTTCTTCTTCTATTTGATCATGCGGTATCATGCTTTGATTGATAGGAGACTGAGGTTAAATTTAAGGCATGTTATTCTCCATTGTGTTGTTTGCAGGGACAAAATCTGAGTTGCTCAAGTAGTGTGGAGGTGATGACTCGGCCACAAGAGAAGATGTTGGTATTACTTCAAAGGTATCTCTGCTGCTTGAGCTCCCAAAAGAATGTGAGACTGGTGGGAAGTAAGAGGACACATTAAACCATAATGGCAGTGTAATTCTATAGTGTACTTCAGGGTGATGTGTGTTTGTGAAGCCATGATGAAAAGGAAACTCTAACTCATTAAAAAAAACATTTCTTGACACATAAATTTTTCCCGTTGAATTGGGGTACTTATATCCTTTGTATAGAGGACTGTACCTGAAAAAGACACATTTTGTTGAGTGAAGGGAGGACTTGTGATTTTGATATGGTCTTAAGCAAGAAAAGTAGGCACAACCAAAGGTTTTCAGTAATTTGTAGTCTGGGCATTTATGATACAATTTTTCAAGAGGTGAGGTATGATTTAAAGTGGGTGTAGGAATTCTATTTATGAAGAACACAACTATTTCAAAGGCATCAAGACAATACCTGATTCAGCAAAGAGTGTGAGGCATGTTTCGGCTATGTGTCGATGTTTCCTCTCAGCTTGTCCGTTTTAAGCTGAAGAGAAATGGTAAGAATATCTAATTTTTATCCCATTATTTTGGAGTGTTTGTGTTAAGGCAGTGAACTCTCCCCCCATATCTGACTCAAGACATTTTATTTTTCTTCCAAATTAACTCTCTGTTTGTTGTTTGAAGAGGGTAAAGGCTTGATGAACGTCAAATTTTTGTTTAAGTGGATAAAGCCAGATAAAGCGGTTGAACTCATCTATAAAGATCACATAATATCTATGGCCCGAAGGTGCAGTGAGAAGAGAAGGTCCCCAGACATTAGTGAGAATATTTCGAAAGAAAATTTA